GGGAGTAACAGCACTTGCCTGCCTTACTAGAGTGCTGAGAGCTTTAATTAATGTCTCTAATTCAATTTGAACTCCTTGGATAAAAGGCACTGCCTTGTGACAGCGAAGGTATTGCTGAAAATAGAATATAATTAACACACAGATATCAATCACAAAGAAATTAAGTGTACATTCAAATACAACTTGCACTTTACAGAAAATACTTGCCTATATTTCCTCCAAGAATCCTGTAGACTCATAAGATAAAGAACATTTAATGTTCCAGGCTGAATTGGTATTAAGAAAAGGGCATCTTAAGCCACCTAAGAAACTCCAAGGGGCTTTAGGAGGGATCTCCATGTGCACGGGGGGATGAGCTTCCATGCTGGATGGAGCTGGAAAATGACTGTACCATGACTCAGAGTCAGCACATCCAACATTTCCTTCTCCCACTGCCTGTTTGCTGTGAACTGGAGCCGTGTCCCGGCTCACCCACGGATCATGTTTATTAACAGATGTGATGATTGCATGATGGTGTTTGTTGACACGAGCCATGAGCCATGAGGACCCAGCTCCCTCCCTGCTGTGCTGTGCTTCTCTTTTTCTCGTGGGGATGGGCTGCAGAGCTGGGTGTTGTTAACTGCTGCCCTTTGCTGAAATGGTTGGCATTCAGTGTAGGGCAGAAACACCTTGGGAAAGACACAAAGCAAACAGCAGGTTTGTGTTTTTGGAGATGCTACAGCCCAGTTCTGGCCTCTCCAACCAGTTCTTGGTCTAAAGAGCCACACAAACCCCATTGTGACTCCATGCTGACAATTGAAAAGTGAGGCCAAGACTCCACATGTAAGGGCACTGTTCAAGGTCATAGGGGGAGTTTGGGGCAGAGTTGAGCAAAACATTGGATTCTTGGCTCAAAACCCAGTGTCTGGCTCCCCCAAGCCCACTCTTTAGTCCACAGGTTGCTTCTGTGCCAGATTTAGCTGTTAGTTAGCCTGGGGTCTCCCTCCCTGCTCCTTCCCTGGTTCCTTTTGCCAAACCCACAGAACACATTTCACATCAGTGGAGCCCCATAAAGACACCTGAAAAATTAATTTCGGATTCAAGCTTGTTAGGAGGTAGACTGAGTGCACCTCACAATATTTCCTCAGACACAAGATAGTCCCACTTTAGTAAGCTTTATAGCTTCCATGGGGACCAGCCCTGTGGAATGGATTAATCTTTAATGTGAAACAACATCTCTACAGCAGCTACAGGGGGGAAAAAGATACTACTAAAAAATTAAAGTTGATGGTGTGATAGTAGTCTGGACCCAGTTGTGCTCCCCCATCCTCCATTGCCTCGGGCACCACTCCCTGCCCTCAGAACTGATCCAGGCAGCTTCCAGGCTGGAGATGTGATCATTTCTCCAGTGGTCTCAAGGCATGTTCTGCCCATATCTTACCTCCTGGATAAGAACATCACAGCCCCAATCATCCTGACTCCAGCAGTGCCCCAAAGGAAAGGAAGAGAGGATGAAGAGTGGTGTGTGGGGAATTAGGGACCGTCTCCTCTCTTTCACAAGCTGATATTTCCCCAGTGTATGATATTCACATGCAGGAGGACACACTGGGATTTCTCTGAGGCCCATTTTTGTTTGGCTCTTCTCATTTTTCAGTTCTCACTTGCGCTGTGCTGGAAACTGGAGGGAGGCTTTCCCCCACTTGGGTACATAAGAGCTCCCTTCCTCTCTCTGCAACAGAAATCCACTAGACAGTGAAATATTTAAGGGAAAACTGATCCAGGCTGGCAGATGAGGGGAATAGCTTTGGGTGAGTTTAATGAGCAGACAACCAAGGAAGCTGGGACAGCATGTACAGAGCAGGTGATTGTTGTCTGCACACCCAGCTCGTGGCAAACACGCTGAGTTTGAGCGGATGGGACAAAAACAGCCAGGCAGGGAAGGAGCCTGGGTGGAGAAGCAGTGAAAATGCACTTTGGAACTGGAATTTGGGGGTGCTGAGGGTGGGGAGCATTCCTCAGAAACGACCTTGGGCTCAGGAGTGAGTGGAAGCAGGGATGTTCTGTGCTCTGTTGCCCTCAGGGTAAGGCTAGAAACTCCCTTGATTTGTAAGGTAAAGTAGAACCATTCTGTGTGTGATGTGAGGGATTAAGCACTGAAAATCGCCCTGTTCAGGGGTGAAATAGGAGTCAGTGGTGAAGGCTGATGTTAAAAACGTCTCCAGAAAACAAACAACAGGAAGTGCAGGTACCACTAGTTTTAATAAGAGTAGTATTCCATCTGCAATTAGAAAGGACCAACAGAAAAATCAAACATTGGCTGACTTTCTCATACTTTCCACCCCCCCCCCCCCCCCCATTTCTTCCTGTAATGCAACAGCTGAGTGTCATCTTTATGACTTACACATCCCAGTTCTGTGCTGCAGCTCCTCCAGCACATGCTGTGCCCACGTGCAGGCTCCCACTCCCTGGCACACACACACAGAGGGCTCCTGAGCTGCCCAGCACACCCAGGGCTCCAGCCCACCTGCACAGCGGCTCACACACTCATTGCCACGGCATGCAGCCCTGCCATGCTCCAGGGGAAGCTCCTGGAGCAGAGGGATGGCCAGGCTGGCCACCAACACCTCTGCCCTGTGTTCTGCTGCTCCCAGCAGCCAAGGCTGACACAGTGTTGGAGTGCAGCTGGCACCTCCAGCACACCTCTCCTACACTCTCAGCAAAATCTTTTCTTTCTGGGAGTTACAAACTTTTAGAGGACTCAGGCTCAAAACCAGAAAGTTTTCTGGAGGTGTACAAAGAAGCCTGACATGAACTCTCACTGTGACAAAGTTCTGAGCAGCCTCATTTCTCCTTTTTAAAAAAGTATCTGCAGTCTCTCTGCACTGTGTTTTACAGAAACAGGTGGGTATCACCTGTCCTGAGCACAATTTGTGCTCCCAGATTTGGGAGGCAGCTTTAAGATCACTGCCAGCTCACAGTGCTGGCGCTCCCTCCACAAAACCCAGAAGGCAGGAGCAGGAACCAGCTGTGAGCATGGAGAGGACTTTTCCAAGCAGATCCCAGGGGCGAGGAGCACAGGCCAACAGGCTGAGCTGCTGCTGTGGGAGCAGGAGGGGACCATCCTGGGTGGGAGGTGACTGTCACAGACATCTTTTTATGAAAAATCCTTTCCTTAGGATTTTTCCTCCTGAGAAACTGAAAGGCCTCAGGAACAAAATGCAAACAATGATTATCTGCTGCTGTGGAATGCAACAGGTGCATCTGTGATTGGTCTCATGTGGTTGTTTCTAGTTAATGGCCAATCACAGTCAGCTGGCTCAGACAGAGAGCTCGAGCCACAAACCTTTGTTATCATTCATTCCTTCTCTATTCTTAGCCAGCCTTCTGATGAAATCCTTTCTTCTATTATTTTAGTATAGTTTTAATATAATATATATCATAAAATAATAAATCAGCCTTGTAAACATGGAGTCAGATCCTCATCTCTTCCCTCATCCTAAGACCCCTGTGAACACCGTCACAGGTGACAACTAAGCAGGCCCCTCACCTGCCACCTGGGGCACGGTGCCAGCAGTGCCAGGGTGCCAGCAGCCTGGCTGGGCTGAGGATGAGCCAAGGGCTGAGACGCTGGCAATGGGAGCCAGGAGAGCAGGGCTCTCTTCCAGCTGTACCCAAGGCTTGCTGTGTGACCTTTAGCAGGGCACCTTGCCCCTGGATTGCCTTCCCACTCATCATATGTCCTGTCACATGCCTGGGAGAGGAGCTGGCTCACACAGGGCTGTCCCCAGCTGTGGTGGTGTTCACAGGGGTCTGAGGATGAGGGAAGAGACGAGGATCTGACTCCATGTTTCAGAAGGCTTGATTTATTATTTTATGATATATATTACATTAAAACTATATTTAGAGAATAGAAGAAAGGATTTCATCAGAAGGCTAGCTAAGAATAGAATAGCAAAGAATGATAACAAAGGTTTGTGTCTCGGACAGAGTCCAAGCCAGCTGACTGTGATTGGCCATTAAATTACAAACATCTAACATGGGCCAATCACAGATGCACCTGTTGCATTTCACAGTAGCAGATAACCATTGTTTACATTTTGTTCCTGAGGCCTCCCAGCTTCTCAGGAGGAAAAATCCTAAGGAAAGGATCTTTCATAAAAGATGTCTGTGACACTCAGCCTTGCTTTGCTGCTCTCCCACAATAGCAGTGAGACTGTGCCCTGCTCCAGGTGCTGGGAAGGATCTCCCAGGCTCAATGTGCATGCTCAGCCTGTCACCCTGCAGAGCCCTTGATCTTGGGGAGCGCCTCAAGGTCCCTCCATAACTGAAATACCAACAGACCCCATCCCCTGCACCAAACACACCTCCCCAGCAGGAAAGCAGGGTGAGGACATTTTTATCTGTCAGAGTTTGGCAGGATTTCATAGTTGTGTGTGTCTGTGTGTCCGTGTGTGCTGTCGCCAGACCTGGGTAATTATTTTGTTTTATTTCTTTTTTTGGCAGCACTTGAAAGTGAGAGCTGGGTCTTTATAGATTGCTCAGGTTGCACAGAGTATGGATTAGAGATCATCAGAGAGACATGAAAGCAGGAGACACGTTTCTCTGGCACAGCATTAAAGGGACAATAAAGGGGCAATTGTAGCCTAGGGTGCAGCCACCTCCAGTGCCTGGCCTTCACTCGCCTTTGCTGCACTGTGGAGAACTTCACGAGGGAAATGATGGAGGAGCTGGGGTGAGGATGTCTCAGGTCAGGACCTGGTTATTTCAAAGGTGGTATATGCTCAAGAGGTTAAAGGCACCACTTAAATACATGAATAAAACACTGCCAAATACTCTAAGGTGTAACACAGGCAAAGTGAAGTCTTTTAATACTTGATTTTTCACGTCTGTTTTCACCCTGAGAGAAGATTGTCAAAGGATCCGAGCATTTTTAATCTCTCTCTTTCTCTCCCTCCTCCCTCTCCTCCCCTCCATTTCTCTTTCTCTCTCTCCTTCCTTCTATCCCCTCTGTCTTCCAACAGGACTCCACAGAATGGAGCAAGAATGAGAGGAAAAAGGCAGACAGAAAAGCATGAACTGGAGGCTTGTTGAGTTCCTCTACCTCCTGTTTATATGGGACCATATACTCATACAGCCCTCCCACCAGGACCCAGCTGCTACCAACCAACATGTCTCCAAGGAGTTTGATTGGCTTATTTCAGACAGGGGGCCTTTCCACCACTCACGGAGCTACTTATCCTTTGTGGAAAGACATCGTCAAGGATTTACAACCAGATATAAAATATACAGGTATGTTGGCTTCTGCGGGATTCACATGCTCTGAACCTGAGAGAAGCTGGGAAAAGAATGATCAAAACGATTCTTGTGCCATTGGCTGCTCCTGTGTTGAGCCAAAGCAGAATGCAATGCGGAGATTGTTTACCCAGAGTGATGGTGTTTTGTTTCCTTGTTCTGTCAGGGCCGAATGTATGTGCAGGCTGTGGGTCAGCAGACAGTCATGAGATTCTGGGCAGTTGGAATTGAGTTGGGTGCCTGTGCAGATTCAGTTTAGATGTAGTGTAATACAGAATAGAATAATATAGTATAATAAGGTAATTACAGAATCACAGAATCACAGAATAATGAGGTTGGAAGGGACCTCTAAGATCATTGAGTCCATCGTCTGCCCTAACACCTCAACTATAGCACCAAGTGCCATGTCCAGTCTTTTTTTAAACACATCCAGAGATGGTGATCCCACCACTCCCTGGGAAGAGCATTCCAGTACTTTATTATCCTTTCAGTGAAAAATTAATATCCAACCTGTACCTTCCCTGATGTAGCTGGAGGATGTGTCCTCTGGTTCTGTCAGAGACTGACCCCACCTGTGTGCAGCCTCCCTTCAGGAAGGCGTGGAGAGCAATAAGGTCCCCTCTAAGCCTCCTCTTCTCCAGGCTAAACAGCCCCAGCTCCTTCAAAGGTTCCTCATGGGGTTTGTGTTCCAATTTATGAGTCTTCTGATATCCATGGAGTCCTCCTTGTCATTTCTCCCTCCCACAGGGGTCACCTTGTGTTTCTGATCTCCTTCCTGTGCCTTGGATGAGTTTTTGGGTGCTGGGAGCTCTGCCAGCTCCCATGGGCTGCAGGCTGGGAGCTGCACCACTGTCCCCATTCCACCTGGCAATGCTGCTTTGGCTCCCCCTGGCCCCCAGCTGGCAATGCAAATTGCTTCAAAGGCTGGGGTGGAGCGCTCTGATAGTGAGATGAAGGCGCTGCAGTGTCATGGCAATGTGCACAGCACAGAGTGAGATGAAAAGGAGCTGAGGGGGTGGGTGTTCTTCATTCCTGGTGACAGACAGTTCACAGGCAGGTTCCCAAGCAGCTTTTTCAAATCAATGGAGCTCTGGACAGCCCGAGCCTCTGTACCAAACTCGTACATGTGAACTGCCAGTAGCTGCAGGTTCACATAAAGATGTCACCACGCACGTCAGCGTGACAGTTCTCACACTGCTGTGTTGGAGCCTTGGCTGTGTGCTGCCTACCACGGATCTTTGAGGATTTATCTCCATGTGTAAGTTGGACTTGGCCCAAGAACTGTGATCTTGATTTAAGAAACTGCAGAGAGTTAAAAAACCTACAGAGAATAGGCAGAATTTGGATTTTTATTTTGCCTTCTAGGTTTTTAAGCCTTAACTGTTGCTTGGTTCAAACTCTTCTTGCCAGCTGTGCTATCTAGAACCACCCTTTCCCCTCCTCATTTTAATCTGAAAAGCTGGGGCGCTCACATGAACGCCCTTTTGAAGCAGCAAGCACTTTGGAGTGAAGGGGAATAAGCCAGCAAGTGTCAGGAGATTTGTGCTGAAACCCAAAGAGACTGAAAAACTCTCCCAGCCACGTGTGCATTTACATAATTATATGGTCCTGTTGTGTGTGCTACAGAAAGACAGAGCCATGCAAAGTGGTGGGCAGGGAAATGCTGGTGAGCAGCCCGTGGCATTGTGCACATGGACACGGACATGGGGAGGGGGGAATTACAGGGAATTACAGGGAATCACCTGTGTGCAGGGAGTGTTGTCCCATGGGCACGGAGCCAGAGGCAGAGTGACAGAGATTTGTGAGGCATCAGCTCTGTGTGGGGAAGAAAAATGATTTGTTCTTGTCCTGCAGCCTCCAGGGAGTGCAGAACCCCCTCTCCTTACAGCAGCAAGGGCAGGTTAAAAATATTGTCCTGGCTTGTCCTCTCCAAAACAGCTCAGGGGGAAGACAGCCCCAAAACCTAAAAGCTGCGCTGCCTTGCTTCCACTGGTGCCTGTGTGCAGAGCAGCAGAGAAAATGCCTTTTCCCAAAAGCCTTTTTGCCTGGCTGTGCTCTGCCCAGCTCCCCTCCTGCCCTGCCTGCCAACACACACAGTGACCCAGCCCGCAGATCCCTGCCCTGCTCCTCGCCTCTGGCACTGGCTGTGCCCTTTGCTAAAGAGCTGTGCAGCCCAGGATGCCAGCACGGAGTCTGCAGGGGCTCGGGGCACAGAGGCACACGATGGATGTGTTCAGACATAGCTACGAACTGTCACTGTGGGTCAGGCCACAGATCCATCAAGCCTGGGATCCTGTCTCTGAGCATCACGGGGAAACGGGTCTGCAAGGACCTTGAGAGGTCGTTTAATCTGAGCCTTTCCCCCAGGGCAGGCTCAGGCATACCTGTGTCACATCTGACAGAGGTTTGTGGGGAATCTGGGAGGTTTCCTGTGATGGAGGATTCACACCCTGAGCAGGCAGCCTGTGCCATGGCTGTGCCTCCTCCACTTTTATAAAGGAGCCAAGAGTTTGTTTGCATGTGAAGCCTGTGGTTTGTTGTTTTATCTGTCAGGAGGAAAGGAACAAATTCCCTTTTGGTTTGTAGGAAACTAGTATGAATTTGAAGTCTTAGTTCAGTTTAGGATGAATTTTATGTATGGGAAGTGGGAAGGGATCTGTTTTCTCTGTTTGTGCTAAGTGTTGTTAAACCACTTATGAAAGACACGTGGAGCAGGTGGAGAACACAGCACCCTCCTCCCAACATGGGAGAAAAAGGGCATCAGCATTCTGTGTGCATGGCAGGTGTCTGAGATGGGTCTTGAAGGTAATGACCATGCTGGAGAAGTCACCATTACAAAAAAAAAAAAAAAAAAAAAAAAACCAAACCAGGAAATAAGCCAAAAATCCAGTGGAAGTAGTTAGGGAGAGGGTTTAGAGAGGACTGCAAGGGCATCTCATGGCCAAACACCACACAGTTGAGCTGAAGGAGGGAGCTGAGTGCTTGGGAATGCCACTCATGTGGGGCTTGGAGCTGCTGGGAGCTGAGCACCTTGGAAATCCAACTCTGGGACAAACCTGCTCAGCTGAGGAAGAGGAGAAAGCCTCACATGCTGCAGCAGAGCAGATGCAACGATCAGGTGGGAGTCTGGCTGGATGCTGCAGGGCTGTTTGTTTTTAATATCTGGCCCTGTTTGGCAGAACTGGTCACTTAAAAAGTGAGCCCATGCATTTTTAAAGGGATATCAGGCTCAGCCTGGCTATGGAGAATTAGTGGAGCCCCAGCCAATTCTCACAGTTAAGAGCTAGACTGTGCACACACTCTCCCAGAACATTCCGTTTTACTGAAACCCACAGGGGTAAAATCTCATTTTGTGGCCTCCTTAAATTGACTCCGAGAATCTGTAAAGGCTGTTGGGATTTTGTCAACTGTTTAATTCCAACATAGAAGCCTCTTTCCTACCAAAAGATGGCTCTCAATTGCTCTTTGCACTAGGCTAGCCCAAGGGAGGCACACATCCTGCATTAAGGATATCAATCCTTTCCTTATGAAAGCAGCTGATATGGAGCATGGGAATTTTCTGTGCAATCTTCTCCTTCAATGCCCCTTTCCTCCCATACTTTTTTAGGTTGGCTGGTTTTTAGTTTGTTGCTCTGTCAGGCAGTTCCTTGTGATTTTGCTGAGGGAGGTTTGGCCTGACCCCTGCTCTTCTCCCAGGGCTGATGGCAGCAGATCCCAAACCAGCCACAGTGACCAAAGGTTTGGAGAGGATGTGAAATAAGGTCAGAGGACTTCACCCAGCCCTAATTGAAGCACTGTTGGCTGTTTAGTGGTGATTTCCCTGGTGTCCTGCTGTGTGGGAACACGGACACATCACATTAGGGCCGTGTCATTTTCACTGGAAAGCCACCAAGGCAAAGCCACTGGTGGTGCTGAGAGCAGCATAAGGCAAAATGCAGAATTTTCTCCTTTTTGCAGGTGATGCTATAAAGGAAGCAACATAAAATCATGGAGGAGTCTTCCTTCTATCATTACTGAAGTCCAGAGCTTGTCAGCAGCCAGCACAGAGCCTGGTGCAGTGAGCAGGGCTATTTTATATTCTGCATAAGCAGAACTGCTGTAGAACCTCAGAGCTGATGATATCTTTCATAGGAAGCCTGGATGCAGGTCTAGCATCCGAGAGTGAGCAGACAGTTCACTGTTAAAACCCCTAAAGTCTTGTTACCTCCTTCCATGCATTTCATTTCAGTGGATTTTAGGTCTCTTTCTTGTAAAAACTCAGATCACTGATTTTCCTGGTACCCTCAGTCAAGGCTTCCACCTTGCATGTGGCATTAGGAGGAAGGCAGGCAAAGGGGGAGATGTTTTATATTAAATCATGAACAGTAGGAGTGGATACAATTGCATTAGGGAAGCACATTAGTCAGCATTGATTCATACTAATAAGGGTGGTTTAGGGGGGCCTCTGGCAGGAAAATGCTGCTTTGATCATTATCTGTGCACACTGGTGCTAATGCAGATAGGATGGCAGATGCTGAGAGTGGTTTGTGGGTTGTCTGAATATTCATTATCACCATCCTTGTTGTTATTCCTAGTCATGAGAGCCTGGGGTACGGGGTACTGCAGAAAGGCTGGAGAACAGATGAAGCTCAGCTTGGCTTTGGGACTGGGGTCCTGCTCAGACCAGAAAACATCCCTGTTACCACTGAACAGTTAACAGCTTCAGCCCACTGCTTTGAAGTATGTTGTCATGTTGTCCTTTTTTTTCTTTCTGCTTCTTCTCTCAGAAGTTATTTAGCTATAAGGCAAAGCAAAAAAATGGGCTGAGCACTGGAATGCTCCATGCAAATTGCCAGGCAGAGGCACTGACAGGAATTTCCCTGATGATGCTGCTCAGCTGAAGCAAGTTCTAGAAAAAACAAAACAACCAACAAACAAACAAACAAATCAAACCCAAAACAACAACAAAACTCCAAACATACAAAAACCAAACAAAAACAATGAAAAATCTTTCCTTA